GACGGAGCTGAGTGTCATGGAGAACCAATGAAATTAGAGGTTTTTAGAAGCTGCGTACCCGATCCCCGCTTTGCGGCGCCTGAAAAATGCGCAAACGTGACGAGTTTTGATGCTTAGGCCCTGGTTTAGGGCTCTTGTTTAGGTGTGTAGTCTGGTAAAAAGCCTTTTTTTGGTTATAATTTCTTACCTTCTTCTTTCAAAACTAGCCATAACCTGGACCATTTAATCAATAAATCGAAGTAATACATTTGTTAAAATTATAGAAAATTTGAAATAATTGGATTTAAGGGTTGAAAATTAAAAATGAAGAGAATAATTGGTAAAGACATAGCAAATGGTCTAAAGGTGCCCCTGAGCTCATTAGCGGACTAACTGGTTTGTTCGTATACCTTTTCTAGCCTTATTTCTTTCATTCTCAAATCAACATCGTTTCCCGCTAAAAAAAACAACTAGACAACCCCCTTTGTTACCCTTTCGGGTGTCATGTGACAACTTCAACAAGACAACTAGACAACCCCCTTAGTTACCCTTTCGGGTGTCATTTGACAACTTCAATCTCGATATGTAATTCCCGTCAAACTTCCTCAACACGGAAACCAAAGAGACAGAGCAAAGTGGCCGCTGGGCTTTCTATATAGTAGAGGTGGACTGGTACGAATGGCATCAGTCAGGGCTCAGAAGAAGGTATTTTTAAGGCAAGCTTTTCCATATCTGATGATAAACTCCTTCATTCTGTAACATTAAGGCGAGGTTTATATAAGAGGAGATTCTTTCGGATCAGTTTGACGGGTTGTTTTTATTTTGCCATTTACACGCACAGGCGTGAATCCGAAATAAAACGTTCCAGTTTAGTCGCGCGTGAGGAGCCCTGAACTCTGAACCCTGATCTAAAGTGAGTTTGTATCCGATTGAATATTTTAGGATTATCTCAGCGATGTGTGTATATACGCGCGCTAATCCAAGTATATACCTTAAGTTTAGTACATCCGCAGACGTTTATGAATCCGGAAAAATGTCCTCTATAGTAAACCTATTCTTTGTATCCGAGTGAAGTTCTCGAATTGAACTGATGAATTAATTGTGTATTAAAACGCCTTCAAGTCCGAGTACCATAAATGCCAGTTATCATTCCGGAAACATTTATGAATCCAGAAAATCTCCTCTGGTGAAAACTAGCCTAAAAGGAGAAATATGGCTCAATATGATAATAATCGGTATTGGAGGGTTTTTAAACGTTGAGGAGTCTTGCATTGTCGTCCCGTTTTTATTGCCCTCTAATGGCAGCGATACTTGAACTTCAAGATCAGTTTTAATATGATGAATTTCCCTGCCATCAATTAATGCTTGCGAAAATTCCTGGCATCAAATTCCAACTGTATTAATTCTATTTTTAACCATTTTTACTTCGCACTGAATATTTCTCTTTAATTTCCATTTTAATTCCGGCGAATAATGTCGCGCATTGTTTTTTATCGTGGGTCAGTTATTATTCACTTAAAAAACCTGTTCTTTTCCTTTCTTTGTAATTTTTCATTATTTGGCCATGAAAAACTCCTCTTAGGTTTCCAGTATATCCATAACACGCTTTTGTCGACTTTTTTCCTCGTTGATTGCGGAGTTGTAAATGCTGGCCTTCTGCAACCCGTAGGCGTTGAAATTTTTATGCTAGGTGAAATTTTTGTTTTTCTTCGAGGCTTGGATAAAAATTCGCCAGGTTCACCATTCTGTGGTTTGCTTTCTTGAAAAGGTCTTGTTGGAAATGATCCCATTGATTTTCCACTTTAAATCCACGTTATAGCAGGATGAAAACTAATCATAGTCTATATTTCTAATGACCAGAAATATATGCACGTTTTGGGAACAATTTTTTTGTTACTGTGGCAGCTTCCCCACCTTGTTTTGGCAGCAAAATGATTTTCACATTAAAATTAATGAGATGAACCTGTAAAGAGCCTTTAATGATAACGCAAGTGGTTAAAATTCACCAAAGAACATTAAATGAGCACTGAGGCTATGTCCACACAAATCCAGGCATTTTTGAAAACGCACATTTTTATCCCGATTTGTGATCGCTCTCCTGGAAAGCGATTTCCAAACAATACGGTTTCGGTGTCCGGATTCTTTAGGGAGCTTAAGCAACGCGCCGGACGACGGCGACGGCAACGAGAACGGGAAACTTCAAAAAAGGTTTAGATAAGCAAAACAACAACTTTTATGTGCATCACGCTTGTTCGTACATTCCTTTGCCGTCGTTGCACGACTACGACTTGAAAGTACGGTACCTAATTTCACGTTTTGTGGAAGACGTGAACACAAGACAACGATTTTCTTTTTCTTTTCCTGAACTTCGATCGATGCAGTCCTTTAGAATTCATCTTCAGAAAAAGTCGCCAACATTTGTAGGATTGAACGAGGTGAAATAGACGCAGTAAAGTTTGAAACTAAGCGCAAATTCACTTTTTAGGTGACCTTTAAGCCCTAAGAGTGATCAGCATCAAATTTCTCCTTGTAATATCAATGCTTTTTAAGACAGAGTGGTCATGAGAATTACGGACATGAGCACACGAGATGAATTTACTTGATATTTTATCAACTTCTCCCCACTACTTCTGTAGGAAATGAATAGGGGCAACAGATGAAAATTCAAATTTTGAGCTTAAAGTTTAAAGGGTTAAGCTCGAGTGGTCGGAAGGCCGATTCGTGTGAAAAGGAAGCGGTTTCAAAAATTTAGGAATCCTTGTGGACGTAGCCTAAACGATCCCAAAAAAGGTACTTCTGAATTATCAAATAGGACTTCAGACATAAATACAAAATGTAGAACCATCGTTACTCTTCGGTAACAGATCCGGTTAAACCCTCTCCCTTGCGTTATGTTGGGAATCCGGATTTCGGATTTTGCAAACGAACACGAAATCCGAAAACGGATTTCACCTCCGAGAAATCTGTCGTCAGGGTGGATTTCAATTAAGAAATCCAAATCCGGATTTCATGGATTTCCTTTTTGCCGTTCGATGGGAAATCCGAAAAAGGATTTGCAAAACTGTTCTCGTGAACAGCGCTGTTCTTTTTGTTAATTATGCGTTCGTGTGCAAGACCACTGTTCTTAGGGACAGTTTTTCAAATCCTTTTCGGATTTTCCAAGCGAAGGGTAAAAATGAAAATCCAAAAATAGATATCACAGCATGATCTCAGGGTTAAAACTAAAGAACTGCATTCTTGATGTGAAAGGGACTGCATGTATTAAATTAACTAAAGCTCGTAAAAGTGAGGGGGAGTCGTCCGCGATAGATGAATGACATTTCAGAACAAGTTCCACATTCAACTTTAGCAAGCAAAGGTAACATAAGTTACAGCTAATTAACTGATTTATTGAGAAGACTTGGTCTTTTTACCGAGTAACACAGCACATTAAATCATATGATGCACTTTAAGTGCTTAACAAATTCTTCCAACCATTCACTGTTTTCATGCCGGTACTTTTCTTCTAAGAAGGAGACAATTAATGTAAATTTCTTCGTCAGTGTTCAAAACAACAAACAAAAAAAAAGTAAGATATCTAACTTTTTTTTGCGAGCAAGCCATTACTAAGTTTAGTACCCCTAATTTGTAACAATTAAAACCACACCACTTTGAAGTTAAACAGCTTTGTAAAAAAGTTGTTAAGTATCCTGTTGTTTAAAATTCAAACAAATTTATCTTCTTCTTTTCCCATGGTTAAGACAGTTTGCTTCGTCGTCACCTTTTTTGGAACATATCTTATGAACAAGGTATAACCTATGCAAATATCCCAGTCAGCCATAGAATAAACGCCAACCTACTTAAATAAAAATATCTACTCTTTTTAAATAATAATAAACTTTACATTGACTTTTGCAGGTTCTTACAAAAAGCCTTAACTTACATTTATAACACCACCTATCTTTTTTTATAAAGCGCTTAAGCTTAAAAATAGCCTAGACAAAACCACTTAAATTTTACCATTAAAATTTCTGGAATATTTTCAGGATACTTCCTTTCATCAATACCAGGCCATAAAAGTGCTAAAGTTTAGCGATCTTTAAGCAGACAGGTCACGGGTAAACAACGGAATGTCCTCATTTACTCAACAAAACGCCAACCTACTTCAACAAATATATCTACTCTTTTTAAAAAATAATAAACGATGTTAAACGCCGGATTCACACTGATTTTTGTAGGTTCTTATAAAAAGCCTTTTCTTAGATCTAAAACGGCATCTATCTTTTTATAAACCGCTATAGAGCTTAAAAATAGCCAAGTGACAACACCACTTAAATTTTACCATCAAAATTTCTGAAATATTTTGAGGATACTTCCTTTCATCAACACCAGTCCATAAAAGTGCTGAAGTTTTCCGATCTTTAAGCAGACAGGTCACAGGGGTAAACAACGTAATGTCCTCATTTACTCAACAAAATGACAACATCAAATTATACTGAAATGGCACGAAGCTAACAATGTTTCTCTGTAAAAACGACACCGCAATAATACCGTCACACGCCACTGAATAAGGAAAGGTTTGTTGATAACACTTTTGCAATTAGCATTCAATGCATTCGAAACTGAAGAATGTTTTTAGAAGTATTTCTCTAAACTTCCCAAAGGAAGCTATTAGGCTGATTTAGCAGAGCGCGCGGAAAGAACTGGACGGAACTTTCGGCTCTCAATTTGCCGCCCTGTCATTGGTCAAGAGTCAATATGTCAAAGCGATATTGGACCAATCATGGGAGCTTATACATAGAGGTGTCCACCTGTGAGATGCACACCTCACTACGTATACTGTGTAGACACAAACCGATGTCCACCTTTAAAGGATGCGGGTATTTAGTCGATGTTCATGTGGTTATGCAAATGATCCATATGCGATAGACTTTTAGCAGAAAGCGCCTTGTGTCATCTTCTGGACATCGCCGCTTTTACTTGATGTCTACTTTTCATCTGCTTAGAGTTAGACACAATGCGCTGTTAATTATCTAACAAGATCACATGATCTTACAATCCTTATCGCACCTTTTCTTTCCCTTTGTGTCTTCCCCGGGATCGGAATCAATTGGTACAACACAACTATTTTTATTCTGTGCTGCATTACTTCTGTTCTCGCTACCCACACCGTCACCAACTCTGTGTTGATAGCTGTGTCCGACAACTCTCGTTGTTTGGTTTGATTCTGTCATCTGCCTCTGATCTTGGTTTACCGAAACATCACTGTCGGGAAAGGAGTCACCTCTCACAAATTTTTCTTTTCTGTGTGGCGCTTCTTTCGACGAACTTCCCTTTGAAGGTGTGGTTGCGGCAGCATTAGATGCTGCCGCAAAAGCGTGATCTGGTGACGGCCCCGGAATACTACACTGTCCAACTAGTCTATTGCTTCGTTCATCAGCTCTATTTGTACGGGGAATGGTATTCCTTGCTACAGGTAGTGTGATATTATCTAACGTAAAAGAAAATAGGATAAGCCGATTCCAAAATTAGTTTGTTTGATCCCTGCCCGTAGGAATTTTGCTGCAGTGGAGCCTCGACATAACGAACGGCCAAGGGACTGGCAAAATTGGTTCGCTACAGAGAGGTTTCGTTATATCGAGGTTCTTTTTCATATATTTCACTATTACGGGTCATTAAGTCAATATTAAAACTTCTCACTTAGGGCAAAATGTTTGCTTAGGGGGAGGGGTAGGTTAGCAGTTCCACCACAGATACTGGGGTAATTAGCCACCCACGCAGACGTTCTAAGGACTTCGTCACGAGTTCCACCGGATGAAGAAGCCCTAAGAACATCTGCGTAGAAGGTTACCTCCTAAAGAATAGCCTGCGTGTCGGGTAGGCGCAAAAAGGGAAGGGGAGGAGAGGGGGAGAAAAGCACAAAAGGGAAAAAAGAAGGTGCCTCTCTTCCCAATCCCCCTCCATTTTAGACACCTGCTACGCAGGCTAAGCTATGAACGGTCCGCTACCACACTGAACTGAAGGTAGGCTTACTCACCCCAACCCTTGTGCAAAGAATGCTCATCTGATATCACAGTATTGCCAAAAAAATACATCGAAGAGATGACCCTCTAAGGTGTTGTACTAACTTGCACAACGGAGTTAAGTACCCAGACAAGTGAACAACGCTTACCTGAAGGTCCCTGCATTGCTGACGAAGCTGAAGCAGTTTTCTTTTCATCTCTACATGTACGCTGCTTCTGTAAATCACCAGTTGCTCTACTTTCCTCATCCTGACTACCTGAGGTAGTTGCTGTAGTTTCAGGGCGAGAAGTGCAAACAGCCCTTTCTAATTCACCCAATTCCGGTTTTTTATTTTCTTCAGGGATCGGATATGGCAATCTCCCAGGGCTATCAGCAGCGTCACTTGAATTTTCCGTGGGAGTTCTAGGATGATTACTTTCAGTCACAGGGTAGGACAATGTTCCAAGACCCTTGACAGCATTTTCCTTTTCCGAGATGGATCGCACACTGCCTTCTTCAGGAACACACACGGGTAATTTTTCAGAGACGATAACATCGGCTGAGTTTCCAGGGAGACTTCCCGAGCTTTTTGTCTCTGGAACAGGACTAGACAATTTCTACGCAAGAACCAGTCGCAACTGCAATCTGCTCGGAAGACCCTGCACTGCCTGCTTCAGGAACGCTCACAGGTAATTTTTCAAGGGCAGTAACGTCGGTTGAATCTTGAGGGGAAGTTCCTGAGTTTTTTGTCTCCGGAACAGGACTGCCGGACAATGCTCCGCGAGAACCAGTAGCAACTGCAATCTGCTCGGACGATCCTACAATGCCCACTTCAGGAACCGCCGTAGGTATTTCAGGGGTATTTGAGATATTTTCACTTTCTGTAGGGTTTCCTGAGCTAGCAGTCACGGGGTTTGTACCACTCCTACTCTCCGGAAACCCAAATGGAGATTCGATACTTCCCGCAGTACTTGGAGTTCTGAAAGATATAAACAAGTGAACAGAATGCTAATTACAATACAGGACATGAACACTCTGTGACTACATAAAAGCCGTTATGACAAGCTCCATTTTTTACGACTGTTAAGTCGGAGGTTGTGAGCAAGAACTATACAGCGTTTTCACGGACCGGCTTATCTTTAGATGGAATTTTAAAGCAGTTTTTCCGCGAAATTGGAAGCTGCACTCTTTCTAAAAACGCATTCATTTGAAGTATATAAGGTACGAATATGGAAAACAAAGCGTCATTTAAAGGTAAAAAAAGAAACATCGCCAGCTGACCTGTATGAGTAATATTCTCAATTCGCGTCACAATCGTTCTGAAATATACGCCGTGACACAAGAACATGGACGTTGCTCGATCCGTTTTATGGGCTCCTGCTATGGACCCGCAAAACATACCAAGTTGGTCCCTTACGAGGGCTTTGATTGTATAGAGTCCTTTAGCAATTACAGTATTAAAGTACAGTTTCTTATAATCTACTAACGTAGCGCAACGGTCATTAAACAATAAATAATATTTGGTATACGTCACCTTGGTGTTGCTGTTCCCACATTGGTTACACTGTGGTCACCAATACCGGCATGTCCACCAGACATGTTGATACTGTAGCTACTTTCACCAGGGGAAGGAAGCTCGGGCTGAACACTATACAAGAACAAATCAAAATTTACATTCTCATGAGTTTTCTTTGAGTGCCCGAATCTTTCTGCTCTTGTAACCGCCATAATGAGAAAAACGTCGAAAAGTTGAAGAAAGTCAAAGCGGGCAAAAAGGATGGGAGAATTCTTTCCCACCTCGCCCGTCTTCTTCTTTCCTCGTCCCTCTATTTCTGCTCACCTAAATATCCCTCTGTTGAACATCGTACATGGTGGCCACAGGCATACGAATATAACAAGGCAGCTTTCACCTGCTCAAAAATACGCCAGCATAGCAGACTATAGTTTGTACCACAAGTTGCATTCAGTGAAAAGAAAGGAGCGATATAACGATAGGTTGCATAAAAACGGCCTGTGCATTACTTCTGAACATTTTTTGCTTATATGTTTCGTTTTGACATTGGGACAAAATCGTCAAATTACAGTCAACAACACTCCGAAGCAATGCCATTAGTTTATAAAAGTTACTTGTTCATTTTATCCAAAGGGTTTGGTAAATAGTCAAACGACTATAGACCATTTTAAAGTTGTGGGCTTAGTATCCTAGCTTTTGAGTGGACGTGAGGCTCAGTTTGACCTTGTCTTGATACAAACCTCCTTCTTTTTTAAGGAAATTTAAATGAAAAAACTATAATTAACATAACAACAACATGATTTACATAATAAAGCAGGAATGGTTGTATCAAAACAAGGTCAACTCCAGCATCGTTTGCACGGGCCGACCCGCACCTATTAGAAACAACGATTGTGATTGGCTGGAAAAACAATAGGGATGGTAACATAACAATGCCCATATCCCTGAAAACAATAGGTAGTGCAGGTTATAGGCACCAATGAAATAAGAGGTTGGGATGGGTGCAGGTCAATCGCTTTTGCACCTGTAACATACTGTAAAATGGGTTATTCCCCCATGGCCGATGCATAGCGCTAGGATAGAAGAGGGTTATATGCTTTTTTCTCAGGTAAGATAGATATCGATATTTACCACTAATCACCTTCCCCTAGGGGGATAGCTGTATACTGTACGATAACCAAGGACTCTGTCTCAACGACAGAATCTTTCCAAATACGTCAGAAGTATCTCATATGGTTGCCTCTATGATTCAACTCATTTCAAACCACCACTGACCTCTTTAAGTCAAAGATACGCAATTTTCCTCCCACAACCGCTTCCACATTTCTGAATTTCAAGGGCAAACCGTGGGAAACAAACAGATTTAAATTAACATGACAATGACTTAAGACAAGATCATACACTAACCCAGTAGTCACAGCTGATTGTCCCACATGAAGTGCACTTTGGGGTCCAATCGGTGCATATCCACCATTGCCGATTTTAGTGTGGTATTCATTCTTAACTGTAACTTGCCTCATTAGCTTAATGGATAGAGGGTTTGGTGCGGTCATCGCAAAGCTAGGTAAGGGTTCGATTCCCGTTCAGGCCTGAAATTTTTTTCTGGTCGGTTTTTTTTTCAACCGCTTAGGTTGTTCATTCTACTGCGAAGATCATGTTCACTTTCATATCACTACTATGTTACATGATTGTTGGTCACTGCTGCTATCTCTCGGTGACTAGAACCTCGTTTCACTTCCATTAAAGGCTCGCGCTATCGCTAGTCAATGGGCAATTTTTTTTTTCATCACCAAATATTTGTTATTATTTTATTCATTTACTTATTAATCATAACTTTAAGTAGGACAAAATTCTCATTCGTGCGCGCACTTGAATGGAATTGTTACATACAGCAAAAACCTGCGTTTTAGTTTTGAACAAGCTTATTTAAAATATCGCAAATTTTTTAAAGTTATGATTAATTCGTGACCCTAATTTCGTGTTGTCCAATTCAGTCGGTAATCATATTGGTGATTAAACAAATCGGATACCTATGATTACAGACCAAAACGGACTCCACTTAGTCCTATAAGCATTTATTTATTTTTGTAACCATCTACTTAAAACACAACTTACTGGTTGGTTGAAAGCCAGGTGTCGCTTGTGATAACACTGTTGAAAGTGAAATACTGGTCGGTTGTGACACAAATGATTACATGCATCACAATAGCTGTCATGGCGGCTGGACCGACCTGGGCGAGCTCGCTACAATTTCTAGTACTCCTGCTTGGAACAGCAGTTTTAATCCAAGAGAGTATAAGTGGCGACGTTTTAGGGTCTTACCAGGCTACAAGCGTCTCAAAGACGTTTATTGCACCTGAATTCGTCTCATATTTGACAAACCACAGAAGATTTAAACCTCGTGCTAAACGATTTACTTCACGGAGGGTCCCACACACGGTAAAAGGAATAAGCAGCTTCAATCTGGAAAGGGATGTGCTTCTGTGCGGGGACGTGGCCATAAATCCTGGCCCGAAAGGGAAGAAGTCTATGTTGAAATACCCATGCAGTGAATGCCACAAAGCAGTTAGAAACAACCAAAACGCCATCTTGTGTGCCACATGCGGAAACTGGTCACACGCTAAATGCCTCAATATGTCTCGGACTATTTTCCAGTACTACTTAGACCAGCCTGATATTGATTGGACCTGTCCAGCTTGTGCTCTACCGCCACTAACGGACTCCTTCTTTGAAGAAGTTTCTGAAGGTGATACACTAATTCCAGCCGAGGAGTATCAAGCGGAAACAACTCAAAATACGGCCTTCGAGCAGTTTCTTTACAGAGATGTCACAGAAATTACTTCTGAAAACGATCAGCTAGAACTCTTTAGGAAACATCACAATAAGGATTTCTTAATTGCCCACTTGAACATTAACAGCATCCAAAATAAATTTGAAGAACTGACCGAAGTAATCAAGAAAATCAACGCCCACATAATGTTCGTAAGTGAGACCAAGATCGACGCGAGCTATCCCAACGCTCAGTTCAAAGTTCCGAACTACTCCCTCTACCGAAATGATAGGAAAAAGGGCGGCGGTGGAATTATGGCTTTAATATCTCAATCGCTAGTCAGGACACAGCTTAAACCTGATAAATCCTTTAAGACACTGGAAATAATTGCCTTCGAAATCAAAACAGATATGGACAATATGGTAATTGTTGGTATTTATCGTCCCCGAGAGCTCTGTGTGGCGAATATCAAACACTGTTGGAAAGCGAACTCAGTTATGTCTGTAACTGGGCAAGCTTGAACGGAAATTTTGTTGTAGTTACTGGCGACCTAAATCTGAACAGACTTCGCCCTGACAAACCTGAAGGTAAACTGCTTCTCGATTTGGAAGTTGAACAAGGTTTTGAATGTCTAATTACTAAGCCAACAAGAATAGAAAAGCGTGGAATAATTATAACAGAGAGTTTAATAGATGTTTTGCTCACTAATAGACCGGATAGCTTCCACCTATCTGGTAATTACCATCCTTGCTTAAGTGATCACGACCTTGTTTACGGTGTCCTGAAGCAGAAAATAAATCACAACAAACCAAAGGTCATCACATTTAGGAGCTATAAGAACTTTGACCCTGAACATTATAAACAGCTTTTGTCCTCTGCCCCATGGCACGTTGGACAATTGTTTGATGACGTTGACGATCAAGTTTACGTGTGGAATGCACTTATGAACAATATACTGGACGAAGTGGCACCTGTGAAAAAAATGCGTGTGCGTGATAAAGATGTGCCCTACATGACGTCTCATTGGAAAAGTGCGATTAGAGCTAAACGCAAAGCAAATGACAAGTACTTGAAAGACAAAACGCCAGAAAATTGGGAATTACGACGTAAAGCCAGAAACGAGGCCACTAAACAAAGAAGAATCGCCATCAAACAGTACTGGTATAATAAGTCAAACGATTTGAAAATCAATCCCAAGGCGTTCTTCAAAACTTTCAAGCCATTTTTGGGCTCTAAGAGCTGTACTGAAAGAAACGACATCCACTTAAAAATAAACGACAGTATGATAACGAATCAACAACAAGTGGCTGAGGAATTGGTTGAGCATTTTGCTACCTTGGCGGATGGCATTGGCGGTACAGCGATTGAAAGAAAGTCAATAGAGGACTTTAGAGACCATCCTTGTGTTCAGAGGATACAACATGAAAATAGGAATTCCACTCAGACCATCGAAATCGAATTGGTTACACAGGGACAAGTCCTTGCAGTTCTCGATTCGCTGAACATAAACAAAGCCACCGGCACTGATGGAATTCCTTCAAAGGCTTTAAAAACAGGTGCTAATGAATTATCCGCTCCACTAACCACCTTGTTCAATTCTTGTATTAACAAGAATGTATGGCCTAGTGAATGGAAGTATGGGCATTGGGCCCCAGTATACAAAAAAGGATGACAGGAATGCAAAGGAAAACTACCGGCCCATAACTCTCTTACCATGTGTAAGTAAAGTTCTTGAGAAGTTGGTTGGAGCGCAGATCAACTCTGGCTTTGGTAATCGCATTTACCAACACTCATCCGCTTATCGCAAAGCTCACAGCTGCGAAACAACATTGATCAATTTAGTAGAAGATTGGAGAATGGCGAGGGATCGAAAACAGGTTGTGAGCATACTTTCAACAGACATGTCAAAGGCATTTGACTCGTTACACCCACCACTACTTCTGAACAAGCTTGAAGCGTACGGTTTTCAGGAAAGCGCTATTCAACTTTTAAACAGCTATTTAAATGAACGGAAATATCAAGTAAAGATCGGCCGTCATGTTAGTTCGAGCCGATTCGTGAGTCGTGGCTGTCCTCAGGGTTCCGCGCTTGGCCCGTTGTTATGGAATGTTTTCCAGAATGACCTATCCTACTGCCTAACAGCGAACTTGTCTATGTATGCCGACGACCATCAAATTTACCACGCAGGAGCAGACCAGGCAGCTGTGACTTCCCAGTTAAAGGATAGTGCCAACTTAGCAACAACGTGGTACGATTCTAATTTATTGGCGGGAAACCTCAAAAAGTACCAAGTTTTGAACTTGGGCTTCACTCAAAATGACAGCAATATTTGCGTGAATGATGTTGTGATTGAAACTAAAGATAATATCATACTTCTAGGAGTAGTGTTAGATTCTAAGCTAAATTTCTCTGAGCATGTAATCTCTATCTGTAAAAAAGCCAGCCAGAGAATTGGTGTTCTAATGAGACTACGTAATTTAATTCCTATGAAATCTAAGTTAATATTATTCAAAAGCGCGATATTACCATTCCTCACGTACTGTCACCTAGTGTGGCATTTTTTGTAAAGCGAGTGACACTCGAAAGCTTGAAAGACTACAAGAAAGAGGACTTAGAGCGGTTTTCAAGGATAATAATTCTAGTTATGAACAACTATTAGAGAAGGCAGATCTGCCAACACTACTAAATAGTCGCTTACAGGATCTGTGCATCCTTATGTATAAAGTAAAGCATAAACTGTGCCCTGCATATATAAGTAACATCTTTAAAGAACCAAATAGTAATTACAATCTGCGACAAGCAGATTTCTCTATACCTAGGTATGAGACAGTCACCTATGGCAAGCACTCTATTAGATATTTAGGGCCTAGGCTATGGACAAAACTACCCAAGAGTATCAGGGACGTCACAACCCTAACGTCGTTTAAAAGCAAGATACGCCAACTCAATATAAGTGAACTTTTAGATGATGGCTGCGCAGGCTGTAGCCTTTGTTCATTTTGACTTCTGTGTATTTTTACTATAAATCTCTTAATTAGTTAACTATAGATATTTTACCTACTACTGTATATAGTTTTTAGTTTGTATATTCTCCCCTAATTGGTGTCCCCAAATTAGTAAGGGATTTGTTCCCTGGCTAGACGGTTTTTTTGACACTTTAATAAAGTTTCTATTCTATTCTATTCTATTACAATTTGTTCTGTTACAGGATAATAGAATAGCGTACAATTATCCTTATCGCACCTTTCCTTTCCTTTTGTGTCATCCCCAGGATCGGAATCAATTGGTACAATGTAACTACAGTCGACTCCCTATAACTCGAACCTCCCGCTAACTCGAACCATAATCGATTTCCACTGGATTTCCGCCCTACATTTACTGTAATTTTACCCTATGTAACTCGAACCCTCGATAACTCGAACCAATTTTCGTTTCCCCTCAGGTCATTTTCTATATCATTTTACCCTCGATAACTCGAACCATGTTTTGAACCCTTAAAAAGTCGGGAAAAAAGCCTTATACTGGCGTCCGAAACAATTTTGGATTTCCTATTGACGTGGTGTAGGAGTATAGTCAGTTACTAGTGGAAGCTGATGTTGATTGTCACAGGCTAACGTGAAGCAGCTTTTCTTCTCAAAACAGTAAAACGCATGCTCTATTTAGGCTATCTTTTGTTACGTTACGTTCTGATTTATAATCTAGAAGTACCTTTTAATTTTCACTTGATATTTCTACAAATAAATGTGATTAAAATGTTCACTGTGCAGTAAAAACTGTTCTCTACCTTACTCTCGCCTATTTTCTTCGGACTCCCGATAACTCGAACCTTGTTCCGATTTCCCTTGAAGGTTCGAGTTTTCGAGAGTCGACTGTATTTCCATTCTGTGCTGCTTCACTTCTGTTCTCGCTACAGCTACCCACACTGTCAACAACTCTGTGCTGATAGCCGAGTCCGTCAATTGTCGTTGTTTGGTTTAATTCTAATATCTGCCTCTGACCTTGCATGGTTTACCAAAAGATCACTGTCGGGAAAGAAGTCACCTCTCACAGATTTTTCTTTTCTGTGTGGATCTTCTTTTGAGGAACTTCTCCTTGGAGATACGGTTGGATTCTTAAATTAACCACAACTGCCTTAGATACTGCCGCTAAAGCGTGATCTGGTGGCGGCCTCGGACTACCAAACTGTTCAAATAGTCTATTGCTTCGTTCAAGATCAGCTCAATTTGTAGGTAGAATGGTATTCCTCGCTACAGGCAATTTGATAGCGAAGCTCTTGCGTGCGAGACGCGCGCAGCGGAGCACTATGGGTAAGAAAATATGGTAATCTACCCATCCAAGAAAATTTGGTAATCACGTGACCGTACATCGACCGACCACCCGAGCGAACGTCCGTCCGCACCACAGGCATGCCAATGTAAAATAGGTCAATCAACAGGTATGGCAACCCAAATGCAACTCGAGGTTATTTTGGCTGGAACCGCATAGCTACCCGCCTTTTGAAATGCAGAGGCAGCTAAAGAGTCAATAAAGGCGAAAACGGAAAGCGGAAATTGTTTCTGTATCCGAGTTGTCTAAAGGATTAAGCTTAGACTAATTTTCATGTCCACAAATTTGGAATATAGAGCAAGAGAAAGACGGAGAAAAAGAGAAAGTAGGCGGCAGGCCAGCGAAACTCAACGAGAAAAAAGGGCGAGAGAGATCTAGAGATAAAAAACAAAAGAGATGATTTTTTTGTTGGAATAGCAATATGAAAATTTTGTAGCGGCAGTGAGAAAATGAGAAATGCTAGCGGCCACCAATGCAAGGAGAAAATGAGCGGCAGTGAAAAAAAAAATTAACGAGAATTTCCCCCATAAAAAAGTTTGTGGAAGTTTCACGTTGTAGTCGTGCAAAACAACGGCAAAGAAATGTACAAAAAAAGTGTGCTGTACGTGCAAAGTTGCTTTTTTTGCTAATTAGACCTGTTTTTGTTTTTCACCGTTCTCCGGCGTTGCCTTCGCCGCTTAGCATTACACGATTTTATATTTTGTTTGAACAAACTATAAATATTATCGAGAGCTTCTCTTTTAGCCCTGGCTAAATCTATATATTATTATCTCAAGAAAAATTACATTGTTTGTTCCCTCCTGGTAGAAATTTTGCCAATAAGCCTTCCAGACGCAGACGTTCTAAGGGCTTCGTTACGAGTTCCTCTGGTTGAAGAAGCCCTAAGAACATCTGCGTGGATGGTTACCTTGTCAAGCAGGGCTTACGCCCTGTTCTCAAGAATAGCCTGGCGGTGCGTGGCAGGCGCAAAACGGAGAAAAGCGCGAAAGGGAAAGGAAGAGCGAGCCTCTCTCCCAAACCTTACACACCTCAACCCCTGTGAATAGAATGCTCGTCAAATATCACAGTATTGCCAACAAAATATATTGAAGAGATGACAGTGCCGTAAAGTAAGTGTAACCAAACCGGGTGAACAAGACTTACCTGAAGGTCCGATTGCGGACAAAGCTGAAGAATTTTTCAGTTCATCTCTACATCTACGCTGCTGTAATAAATCACCAGTTGCTCTACTTGCCTCAGACGCTTTTCTCTGTTTTAACTTTTTCCCAATTCCAGACAGTGGTGTGCATCTCTCTGATGAGCTGCTACGGTTTACTAACCGTTCAATAGTTGACGAAGCGGCATCTTGACTAACTGCGGTAGTTGCTGTAGTTTCTGTGCAAGAAGTGCAAGTAGCCTCCGTCTCCCCCAATTCCGTTTTTTTTTTTTTTAATTTTCTTCAGGAATCGGATATGGCAATCTCCCAGTGATATCAGTGTCACTTGAATTTTCAGTGGGTGTTCTAAGATGGTTACTTTCAGCCACTGGGTAGGATAATGTTCCAAGAGCCTTGACAGCATATGTTTTCCTTTTTCATAGTGGATCGTTCACTACCTGATTCAGGAACGCTCAAAGGTAACTTTTTAGGGTTAATAACATTAAAATAAAAATTACCCCTTCAACATACCTACTTGATAAAAAAGATCACTAAAACAAAAAGTCTTCTTATCATTTTCGCGAAACTTTTAATAAATTAAAGTGATTAAACCGTAAGGCGCATCTTTTATTACAGGCCCTTTTAAAGTGGCTTGATAGAGTTTTTCGGCGTCAATAGGGACCTTAAGATCCGAGGACGGCGACGACAGCGAAAACGTTGCTGAAAAAGTGAATTCTTGTTCTTTCAATCTTCATCGCGATTACTCCAAGTCACTAACTTTGTCAAATGTAGGTGAACCCAGTCTAAAGTTGAATTCCTAAGAACCATATCCAAGTTCAGAAAGAGGAGGAAAATTTCGTAGTCGCTTGTGTTCTCCATCTGTACAACGGTTAGGCATTTTCACGTCGTGGTCGTGCAGTGACGGGAGAGAAATGTACAATAAAGCGTGATGGATTTGCAAAATTGTATTAAACCTATTGCTTTTTTGACGTTCTCGTTGTCGTCGCCGTCGTCGGATCTTAAGGTCCCTAATACCTCCCAAGTTTGAGCATAAACTACGTCGTCATAAACAGAGATTTGGAAACAGGGTTGCAATGACATCGGAGTTGCCATAGCAGCTAAATGACGTCATTACCTATTAGTGACGTTGTTAATGCTCAAACTTGGGAGGTATCTACCCTGAAAAACCCTATCGAGCCACCTCAAATACTTGAACAAAAGATTTTCCTACCCTTTTATGTACTAAGTATGCTTCAACTCGTCCTTCCTACCCTTTGCCCACCTACCCCTCCCCTTAGCCAACATTTTGCCCTAAGTGAGAAGTAAGTGTTAATATTGGCTTAGGGGAGGGGTTGGTGGGCAGTTAATCCCAGAAACTTATAATGATCCGCCGATACAAATTAAGCGATCGAAAGGGACCCCTGATGGGGGTAACATCCCCTCATAGGCCCGAGTTATAGAGAGTGGCCCCGGGGTTTCGCTCATACTGAGAAAAATAAAAATGATTGTAACATTGTACCTGAGAGATTGAATTATAGAGCTTTTATCATATATTTTCAATTATCCTGTAAGGGGAACCAAATAATGACGGAAGCTTATAATGACTGCAAAAAAGGCGATTTGAACAACAGTCTTCTAAAGACAGGCGACAGTATCAACCAGGACGATGTGCCAATTTCAGGTTCTGGAAGAAACAGTTTTTCGGAAGAAACAACTATGCAACTGAGCAAACAGCGTAAAAGCTCAATTAGCCTTGCAATTTTTACTTGCTAATTAAGAGCGACGGTCAGGAAATATCGACCATCGAGTGGCAAGAGTTGAAAAATCGACTGCCTTCAATTTTTTGTCCATAAATAGCTTTTAGGTAGATAAGTAATCTGATGTAAGTTGTTCTCGCAAAAAGCCTTTTATTTTAGAGAAAAGTGAGAATATCAGTTTTCGTGGTCGTAGACTCAATATTGCCGTATTTTCAACCCGACATTTGCTAATATCAACTCTCCTCGTGTTCGCAAATAAAGCCGCAAGGAGAAATTTGGACACTTTCCTTCAATAGAACAACTTTTTCTCTAGAAGATACTTTCAAAGCAATATCAAGACTCGTTGAACTAACATAATTCAGAAACGAAGGACAGGTTTTTTACGGTGACAAAAACTTTAATTTAGTAGTTGTTTTCAGCGGCATTTTTCTTCATGTGGTATAGCTCCAAATTTTCCCGGTCCTCGTTTATTCACACATTTAGACATTCATCTAAAGCATACCTGAGAATTGGCTTGGGTTCCTTTAGGCAGCCTCCAAACGAAAGCATCAAAGTCCGGCAAAAATAGTGAAGCGTGACCAAAATAACTTAGTTAACGGCTCCAAGTTTCATCGAACGTAAAGTAAGAAGACGAAATATCTTCCTGTTCGGTCATCCTTAGCGAATTACCATTGTTGAAGTCCATATTTTTTCGATGAAAAGTGAGTACCAGTACCTATTTATTCACCTGGGCTAAGAGAGGCAACTACAATAATTATAGTATTAATAATTATTTATTACAGTGTATTTCCTAATAGTTGCTGCCCTAAGTACATTCAATTGATCATAATTAGAATAATATTAATAAAATGTACATAAGCTCTAGCTTTAAGAAACTATATTATACAAACTCTATCTAGAAAAAAATATCAAGATAATGTCAATCAAAACACCAGGCATTGCTTGAATTAAGCGTGAGTAACGCGATACACGTCACCGGCTGCAAAACAAGTCTGCTTTGGACCAGTAAAATGCGCAACAATTACTGTACAGATTTTCTTTCAAAAGAAAAAGACCTTTCTGCAACAAAACTACTTCTCTTTGTAACGATACATGCCATCATTTAGAATTTTGCCGCTTCTTTTAGTTGCAATATGCGAAACCCGATTCTTGACAATGGTGCCTTTTCAAAGCCCATTTTTCTTCAGGAGGAGAAGGAACAGAGCAAATGTTGACACTACAAATGCTAAAAAACGCCAGGAGAAATAAAAAACAAAAGATATTCAAAATGGGGGAGGGAATGGGGAGTGTATAGGGTGCATAAAAGGTGTGTTATTGGAGATGTGTCATTGACTGAATTTATCGGAAGATATCCATACTGCCAATATTGGATATTCATTAGGGAAAGGTATTATGGGGCGCGGGAACGCTTATTTGAATGGGGTGCTTTTAAATCGCTCGAATACTTGGATTTTAAAAAACTTAGCCTATAAACAAATAAATGACTCGCAAAGATACCAAAGTAAGGTATAATTATTAGTTCTGGTGGAATAGGTAGAAGTTCCTCAGTGTATTGGTGCTATTCTTACACAATGCAACATTTGTTACGAGTTTGATTAAGTTGTCTTTGTTTCCTTTTAACGAATCTTAAGTTGTTGAAAGTTCTTTTCACAGCAGCATGCTGCTCGCCATACAACGTTTTATAAATGTTCAGAGCCTTTTCATAGCATTCTTGAGAAACAGGGTACTGTTTAACGCTGCAATAGGTATTGCCAAGGTTGAAGTAACTTTTCGCTACAGAGAAATGCTCCTCGCCGAAAATAATTTTTTTAATGGCGAGAGACTTCTCATGGTATTTTTTAGCCCGATTGTACTGACCAAGGTGACCGTAAACAGTTCCCAGGTTGTTGTAACTTCTCGCTACGGCACCATGGTGCTCACCATAATTCTCTTTTCTAATAGCAAGAGACTTCTCATAGTATTCTTTAGCCTGATTGTACTGACCAAGGTCACTGTAAACAGTTCCCAGGTTGCTGTAACTTGTCGCTAGGTCACCATGGTGTTCATCATAAATCTCTTTTCTGATGGCAAGAGACTTCTCATAGTATTCTTTAGCCTCATTGTACTGACCAAGGTCACTGCAAACAGTTCCCAGGTTATTGTAACTTCTCGCTACGGCACAATGGTGTTCACCATAAATCTCTTTTCTAGTGGCAAGAGACTTCTCATGGTATTCTTTAGCCTGATTGTACTGACCAAGGTGACTGAAAACAGTTCCCAGGTTGCTGTAACTTGTCGCTACGTCACCATGGTGTTCACCATAAATCTCTTTTCTGATGGCAAGAGACTTCTCATAGTATTCTTTAGCTTGATTGTACTGACCAAAGTCACTGTAAACAGTTCCCAGGTGGTTGTAACTTGTCGCTACGTCACCATGGTGTTCACCGTAAATCTCTTTTCTGATGGCAAGAGACTTCTCGTAGTATTGTTTAGCCTGATTGTACTGATCAAGGTGACTGTAAACGGTTCCCAGGTTGTTGTAACTTGTCGCTACGTCACCATGGTGTTCACCATAAATCTCTTTTCTGATGGCAAGAGACTTCTCATAGTATTCTTTAGCCTGGTTGTACTGACCAAGGTCACTGTAAACAGTTCCCAGGTTGTTGTAACTTGTCGCTACGTCACCATGGTGTTCACCATAAATCTCCTTCCTGATGGCAAGAGACTTCTCGTAGTATTCTTTAGCCTGATTGTACTGATCAATGTGACTGTAAACAGTTCCCAGGTTGTTGTAACTTGCAGCGACCTGACCATGGTGTTCACCATAAATCTCTTTTCTGATGACAAGAGACTTCTCATAGTATTCTTTAGCCTGATTATACTGACCAAGGTCACTGTAAACAGTTCCCAGGCTGTTGTAACTTGCCGCGACCTGACCATGGTGTTCACCATAAATCTCTTTTCTGATTACAAGAGACTGCTCATAGTATTTTTTAGCCTGATTGTGCTGATTAAGCTCACTGTAAACAGTTGCCAGGTTGTTGTAACTTGTCGCCACGTCGCCATTGTGTTCACCATAAATCTCTTTGTTGATGGCAAGAGACTTCTCATAGTCTTCCTTAGCCTGATTATACTGACCAAGGTCACTGTAAACAGTTCCCAGGTTGTTGTAACTTGTCGCTACGCTACCATGGTGTTCACCATAAATCTCTTTACTGATGGTTAGAGACTTCTCATGGTATTCTTTAGCCTGATTGTGCTGATTAAGGTCACTGTAAACAGTTCCCAGGTTGTTGTAACTTGTCGCTACGGCACAGTGGTGTTCACCATAAATCTCTTTTTTAATAGCAAGAGACTTCTCATGGTATTCTTTAGCTTGATAGTACTGACCAAGGTGACTGTAAACGGTTCCCAGGTTGTTGTAACTTGTCGCTACGTCACCATGGTGTTCACCATAAATCTCTTTTCTGATGGCAAGAGACTTCTCATAGTATTCTTTAGCCTCATTGTACTGACCAAGGTCACTGTAAACAGTTCCCAGGTTGTTGTAACTTGTCGCTACGTTGTCATGGTGTTCACCATAAATCTCGTTTCTGATGCCAAGAGACTTCTCATAGTATTCCTTAGCCTGATTGTACTGACCAAGGTCACTGTAAACAGTTCCCAGGTGATTGTAACTTGTCGCTACGTCACCATGGTGTTCACCATAAATCTCTTTTCTCATGGCAAGAGACTTCTCAAAGTATTCTTTAGCCTGATTGTACTGACCAAGGTCACTGTAAACAGTTCCCAGGTTGTTGTAACTTGTCGCTACGTCACCATTGTGGTCGCCATAAATCTCTTTATTGATGGCAAGAGACTTCTCATAGTATTGTCTAGCCTGATTATACTGACCAAGGTGACTGTAAACAGTTCCCAGGTTGTTGTAACTTGCCGCTACCTGACCATGGTGTTCACCATAAATCTCTTTTCTGATGGCAAGAGACTTCTCATAGGATTCTTTAGCCTGATTGTGCTGATTAAGTTCACTGTAAACAGTTGCCAGGTTGTTGTAACTTGTCGCTACGTCACCATTGAGTCCACCATAAATCTCTTTATTGATGGCAAGAGACTTCTCATAGTATTCTTTAGCCTGATTATACTGACCAAGGTGACTGTAAACAAGTCCCAGGTTGTTGTAACTTCTCGCTACGGCACCATGGTGTTCACCATAAATCTCTTTACTGATGGCAAGAGATTTCTGATGGTATTCTTTAGCCTGATTGTGCTGATTAAGGTCACTGTAAACAGTTCCCAGGTTGTTGTAACTTGTCGCTACGGCACTGTGGTGTTCACCATAAATCTCTTTTTTAATAGCAAGAGACTTCTCATGGTATTCTTTAGCATGATTGTACTGACCAAGGTCACTATATACAGTTCCCAGGTTGTTGTAGTTTGCCGCTACGTCACCGTGGTGTTCACCATAAATCTCTTTTCTGATGGCAAGAGACTTCTCATGGTATTCTATGGCCTGATTGCACTGACCAAGGTCACTGTAAACAGTTCCCAGGTTCTTGTAACTTGTCGCTACGTCACTGCTGTGTTCACCATAAATTTTTTTTCCAATGGCAAGAGACTGCTCATAGTATTCTTTAGCCTGATTATACTGACCCAGGTGACTGTAAACAGTTCCCAGGTTATTATAACTTGCCGCTACCTGACCATGGTGTTCACCATAAATCTCTTTTCTGATGGCAAGAGACTTCTCATAGTATTCTTTAGCCTGATTGTGCTGATTAAGTTGACTGTAAACAGTTGCCAGGTTGCTGTAACTTGTCGCTACGCCACCATGGTGTTCACCATAAATCTCTTTCCTGATGGCAAGAGACTTCTTATGGTATTCTTTAGCCTGATTGTGCTGATTAAGGTCACTGTAAATAGTTCCCAGGTTGTTGTAACTTCTCGCTACGGCAGCATGGTGTTCCCCTAAAATCTCTTTTCGGATGGCAAGAGACTTCTCATGGTATTCTATAGCCTGATTGTGCTGACAAAGGTCACTGTAAACAGTTGCCAGGTTGTTGTAACTTGTCGCTACGTCACCATGGTGTTCACCATAAATCTCTTTTTTAATGGCAAGAGTCTTCTCATAGTATTCTTTAGCCTGATTGTACTGACCAAGGGCGCTGTAAACATTTCCGAGGTTGTTGTAACTTGCCGCTACGGCATCATGGTGTTCACCGTAACTCTCTTTTCTAATAGCAAGAGACTTCTCCTGGTATTCTTTAGCCTGATTGTACAGACCAAGGTCGCTATAAACAGTTCCCAGGTTGTTGTAACTTGCCGCAACGGCACCATGGTGTTCACCATAAATCTCTTTTTTAATGGCAAGAGACTTCTCATAGTATTCTTTAGCTTGATTAATCTGGTGAAGATCCTTGGAAACAAGGCCTTGCACTTGAAAATAATTCGCCTTTTCCAGCTTATCTGTTAGGTCGTCATCAAGATAATTTACAAAATCAGAGCATAATGTACAAAAGAGGTGAGCGTCCGATATATTACTTAAGTCGCGACTGACTTCAGCAGTTGAGGAAAGCCAGGATATTAAATTTCTAGGTGCTATGGAGCGGAATAATTCATTATTTGTTAATTCTGTGTCGGTAAAATTAGTCTTGAAATGTTGATATAACGCTTTACAATGTCTGGTAGTTAGTCTTAACTTGATGCACGTACTCTCACTTGCAAGTAGTAGCTTCTTGTTGTCTTTAATTAATGAACTGAAAATCTTAACAGCGACAGAAAAGTACTCAGCTTTATGTGTGCGGTTCAGGAGTGATGTTACAGTGGACTTAAGCACTTCATGAACAACGTTATGTACTCTTAAGTAAGTGGGTGTGCCGTCAACATCATACAAGCAAGTTATCATGGTGGATTCCAGAATTTTAGCTCTGATAAATTCTTCTTTTTGTTGTTTGTTACGAAATTTAACAAAGTCAACTGCAGCCTCAATAGGTAGAGAATCAAATGCGCACAGCGAAAACAAACAAAATACTTCAAAAAGAACTTTGTCGCTTTCCAAAGCTCGAGTTATTGCCATTCTGATTGCAGTAGCCGTTGTTTTGGGATATGCTCTGTTTTTTTTCGCGAAAAGCTCTTCTCTGGCTTCGCGTTCCTCGCTATTCAATGTTTCCAGGTATTTTGTCCAACCATAATTAGGGGTACCATAGCTGACAATTGTTTGCACGTAGACTGCAGCAGCTGCCAAGGCAAGTGGCTGATACTGAGAACTTCAGCAACCTCCTCAGCTTGTTGTTGATTCGAAATTTGGGACACTTCCCTTAAAAGGTCTACTGCATCATCTGGGTGCATTCCTTTACTGAGAGACTCATGGTAAGTATAAGGAGAATTGAAGGGTATGGACTGGGTATCTTGAGTGGTTACTATCATTTGACCATGACCCCACTCTTCACTGGCGGTTGGAGGCAGATAACTACGAACCATGGATAGGTCAACAACATTATCTACAATAATCAGCCAGGCAGAAAATTGTTTCACCTTTGGAGAAATAAAACGCATCAAATGTTGAATTTTTTCACTTGAGTCGACCTTCGTGGAGGTTGCCAGGTTGGTCAGAGCGTATTCCGTAACTCCCAGTTGTTTAGCTAGATTGAAATAGGAGTCGGCAAGTGAGTCAAGGGTTTCTGCATTCAGAGTTGAAACAAAAGTTAGACCTTCGTCTTCTCGCAAACTTTTGTCGTACACTTCCTGTCCCACTTGACGAGCAAATTGACTTTTGCCACAGCCCGGAATTCCTGATAAATAAATGGTGCTGATAGCTCCTTTGCTTTCATTATAAAGTTCCTCCAGCTTGATCTTGATTCTTGTGACATCGTTGGAACGTCTGATGATTTGGTGCGGTGGCTTGAATGTAAGACTACAGAAAGACTCGACTTTGGAATTGATTTCCTGAGTGAGGGTTTCTACTTCTTCCTGCTTGGTCTGTAATGTGTCTTGGGTCAATTGTAAGTCGGAGTTTAGATTTTTAACTTCTTCATTTTTCGCTTTTAAATCAGCTTTAAGTCCATCAGCCTTTAACTTTAAGCTTTTTACTTCTGCTGTGGGAAAGCTGCTCTGGTTTTTAACATCCTCGATTTCATCAGTTGAGAGGTTCAAAGATGTAAATGCAGCTATCATTCTTGCTACATAATTTTGGAATTCAGCATCAGTAAGTTCAACCTCGTTTATGTGAGCGATGTCGTTTCGCACCTGTCGAAGAACGTCCACCTCTTTTCTGATCGTCGAACTCAGAGTGGTGCCAATACTATCCGAGAACAATATCGCAAAAAGTAGACAACTGCAGTCCCACTCTGCTGTGTTTCCCTTTTGTATTGTCGCAAAATATCGAGCATTCTTTTTGCGACTTTTCCCCGTTTCGTTGTTGTAGAAATCGCTGCCATTTTGTGGAATGTCTTTCCATTCCCCCAATGGGGTTGTCACGTAAAGGAAATTCCACTCTTGTTTGAAAACGTTCCGAAGTCCTTCGGGGACCAAGTTGAAGGCGATATAACATATTCTAAAATAGTTTAACTGTTGTGGAGTATATTCCATTTTGAATTGTGATCTAGTAAAAAGATTAGCGAAAGAATAAAATCAGACTAAAAACCGCTACCCACTCCAAAGAAATCCTACATCGAAGCCCTCCCAACCCTCCCCCCTCCCTTACTCATTGACTGATTTTTCGCCTTCGTCATGCATGAAACAAAAGGGTGGAGCAAAATATCGGCAACAAAAATTGACTTACGCTTTGTTAGCCTATAGCTTCTTGAAATTGTAGAAATGAGTTTGTTGGCCTGTTAGCCTGTGGGAAAGAATAGTGAAAGCCTTTTAGAATGAAAAACTGAAGGGAAAACGCCCTTCAATATTAAGTTTACCTTGTCTCCGCCCAATCCCCCGATGTTAATGCTCATTAATCTAATTCATTTGTAGCTTGGGTGATAGCCGTCACACTCCGGATACCCTGCGAGCAGAGGCTAGATTTTCGCGGTATGATTTGGCGTGCGAAAAGTAGCCTCTGCCGACAACTGTTTAAATCCTTCCAGAAACCTGGACAAATAAATTTAAAAAACGGGTTTTTATCTGTTCTCGACCGGTTTAGCCTTGCGTCAGTTATAATAGGATGCTTTCTGGAACACAATTCCACCTACTCTTTCCTGGTTATGCCTATCATTTCCCCAGTCATCCGGCCTTAAAATTTCCCTGTTTAATTTCTGTCATTAATTTTGTACTTTTTCTCAATAAATGCACTAAAGCAAAATTTTTTAATTCAATAATTTTATGTTTTGCCATGATACTCTTCTGTCACTACGTAAAAGTCTACTAAATTCCTGGTTATTTCCCTCATTTCTAATGTAAATACTTTGCATCATTTTTGTTAAAATAAGGTGAAAGTCTAACAAAGTTGACATATTAAAGTGGGAAATGTTAATGAAGCCGACTACTTAATGGCTCGCTCGCTCGCGGAATAACCAGGAAAGAGTAGGTGGAATTGTGTTCCAGAAATCATCCTGTTATAACTACTATAAGTGAAGTGGGGGTATTGTCTAATCAAAGATAAAAAGATGATGATGCAAGAAGTCTTAGAAGATTTGAATAACGAGCTTGGTGAAATTAACGATGATATTGTACCAGAGGAAAAAGAGGAATCAACAAAGAATGTTTTTACAGGAAAAGATTTTAAAAAACTAACCAAAAGGCTAAAAAACTTGGTGCTAAATCTCTTGACTATTCATCTCGTAAAAATAATAAATATGTAGCGACTCTCCCAGATGGAAAGAAAGTGCATTTTGGCTCGCTAAAATATCCTGATTATCTTATTTATCAAGATGATGCTAAAAAAAACAGATATCTAGCAAGAGCAAAAAAGATTCGAAATTAAGCTGGGAATACACCTGGGAAAGTCCCGAGTCATCTAATTGTTGGAGTACGAGACTTTTATGGTCTGGAAAATAATCTAATTATAGATAAAAAACGTTTAGCGAGCTGAGTGATAGAGATAAAAGAGTTATTGATCATCTTAATAAACTAGATTTTGAATTTAACAAATTATATGATTCATATATGCTAATTCCTCATTATAGTGAACATGAGAAAAGTAGTATTGAAGGGATAATTGATGCTTTTAACGACAGGGTTTAATTTATATTATGCAGAGAGATACAGAGGATATTAAATTTATTAAAAACCAAAATGTTTTCTTTCACAGTAATTTTTAGAGAAGATTAACAAAGAAGAAAAAAAATTGAATTGTGGTTTAAAGATTATCTAAATATTAATAAGAATGCAATCAACAAGTTACGAAGATCTAACCCCCGACAACTTTATCTTTAAGGAATCAAAGGATTACAAAGTTACGGATTCAAAAATCATGTATAAACGTATACAAATTGAAACCAAATATCCAAATGGTAAGAAAGGTAATTTGATAATCGAGACGCCGCTTCTTTTTAGTTTTGGCGTTAATGAAAAGAAGAACCAAGAAACAAACAGGTTAGTTGGTTATAGTATCCCAGTTTGCCTTTGGAATAAAGATAGTGAGCCAAATCCTCAAGAAAAAGCATTTTTTGAAGTCTTAAGTAATATCGTGGGAATCTGCCAGAATCATCTAGAGAATGAATATGGTGCAGATATGGCATCATCTCTGTCTTCGCCTTTTATTTCAAACAGGTTGAGTATATAGACAAAAAAGGAAATCAAAGGCTCCTAGGAGCGAGCTCGTGGATGAATTGATCGATTAGTGTAGAAAAGACAGTTCAATAATCAAAGAAAAACATATAAATCTTTTTGGACGCTTCATTGTGTACGGACTTGCCAAATTACAGCGTGACTCGAAAATATTCTAGAAACTTGTTATCAGCGCAGCATTTCTACTTGTAACGCAAAGATCACTTAAAGCAAGTATTAGCGCTTTAATTGTTAGTTGTAAAATAATTAGATATGTCCAGGATCGATCTTGTTAGCAAAAATTTGCGAGCACATTTTTTTGATGTGACTGTGAAACACTTTCCGAACGATACTGCACTTTCTTGTAATATAGCTAAATTTTATATAAGCCCGAGTTTTATTTAAACCGTGGTTTTAAACAATTATTTTATTGGACCTCGAACTGGTTTCCTATAAGTGTGATGCTTTTAAATAAATGTTTCCATATGCTGTTCATAAAGACCAAGTAACATGGTTTGTTTTTGTAGCACGATCAAACTATTAATGACAGAATACAGGCGTTTATGGTTAAATTAAACTGCTTTAGAACGCGCTTTTGCTAAACACTAGCTAAAAATTATTTTCATCAAACGGACTAAGCTCGAAGCTGTACGTGCTCTGACCCCAAGCTAAGTAATTTAAACGCAGTCGAAGTATCCGATTGCCTTTCTCTACCTGAATATTCTAGAAACTTGTTAATACCAGCGCAGCGTTTCACTGCACAAATTACATTAATAGCACTGAAAAATGGAATCATCGACAAACAAAAGCCTGCTGGGGAAAGATCACCTAAGAATTCAAGCAAAAAAGTGTAACGCTTGTTGGTTCTAAAACCTGTGCTTCCAGTTAACACAACATTATTTCATTTCCACAATAGACCACAATACATGCTTCTCAATGTCGCTTTAACACTTCGAGGACCGTTTTTTTTTCGCTGCTATAAAGGCTCTTTGGCGTATTCGCTTTTCGCTGAACGAAATCCCATGGCGATCGTCAGGCTGCTATAGCTCTTTCACACTCCTGGCGATCACATCTTCTCCTTATCAAGTTATATCGGGAACAAATGTGCACAATTTGCCCAAATGTACATCAATGATGCACGATCAATTATTTCAATGTCCTTTTAACAATTCCAAGTCCATTTCTTGCAGATGATATTGTCAGTGTTCTTTAGAATATCGCCATTACACAAACCCCATCTTTATGATGTGCCGGGAAAAAATCTACGCATATATACCAGTACCCTCTCAAATACGCCAAACATATACGTAAAAGGCACTTGGAACAAAAGTAATACTAAGTAAGGGAGGTAAGAGTTAAGTGTTTAGTCTGGCTTTAATGAATAAATTAATGAGAATCGAGTGAGTGAGTGAGTGAGTGAGTGAGTGAGTGAGTGAGTGAGTGAGTGAGTGAGTGAGTGAGTGAGTGAGTGATCGAGTGCCATTCGAGTGCCTCCAAAAGCCCATGGCATGACTTCGTCATCCATGAGCTAAAAAGAAAACCAAGAGAGATGAGACAGCCGCGCCAGTACTTTATGCAAACCTTATTTACTCTTATAAAACAAAGAAAATTCTTTCTTTAGTTTCAACAAAGGGTAAAAAGAGTGTTAATCCTTTTAAATATCTTAATCAGTACTGTTATGTAAAAATGGCATTGATTATAGAAGGAATCTTTATAATTAAAACTGTTACATCTCTTCAAGTCAAAGTTCATGAAGTTTATATTAAACCACTCAAACCAAGAGAGGCATTACTTACAATCAAAGAAAGCGATAGTGATGATGAAAGTGATACCGAGAAAGGTGAGCAAAGCGAGGATGACGAAAGTAAAGACGTAATTATCTCTGATATAGAAGTGGATGAATAAAACTATTTTGTCAGATGTAACTGAGTAGAAATGAAAAAGGGCAATATTTAGGATTTATTTTTAATACAAATTTTGTATTAAACATCAACCAAATCCTTAAAACTCACCCATGAGTTAAATTTATCAGGATACCCACTCCATTTCTTTTTCTTTTTTTTTTTACCCACTCCATTTCACCAGTGCTAATGAAATCTCGAGAAAAGTTTGTAAAAGGCGAACTTGAAAAGATTTATAACCTATTGAATGTTAGTTTTGAATATTGCCCTTATTCAAGTTCTGAAGATGAAAAAAGATTTGTAAAAATATTTGAGCTGCATTTTGAGATAAGTGAGCGAGCAGATTTATTGGGACAGGTTGTAAAAGGAAGTTATTTTGTCTAATAATCAGCTTAAGGATTATCTATTAATATAATAAAATGGAAGCTAACTTTTTTAAAGAAATTGAGAAAAAAATGGATATTAAAACACTAAAAGATTTTGAGAAAGAAATTCGAACTGAAATAAATCATGACCTTGACATTGAGCGAAAAACAAACCAGGATCTTGCTCGAATACAACTTGCGAGTGAGTGTGAATTATTTGGGAAAGTCACATGTGAAGGTTATAGTTGGCTTAAGATAACAGGGGATAAAAACTCGCGTTTGTTTAAGCTTATTGAGATTTATTCAAACATTAGAACTCTAAAAAATGAAAAAGTTGAAAGAAGGAAGTGATGGTGACAGTGATTAAAGTTTTCACTTTGTAATTTTATATCAATTTTGATATAAAATTAGTACTTCTTATTTATACAATAGTCCCTTATAAAAGCACTGTTATCCTCATCAACATCTTCATGGTGAATTACGTCTAGTATATCTTTTCCTTTTTGTCACTCGTATAAATAATACAAACACCAATAACCACAGAGAACAGTACTTCTGTTTTGTATTTCATCCTGTGAGTAAATGAGTTTTTTTTTTTCAGATGTGGCTAAATAGTAATACA